CCAGGTGGACGAGAGCTACGATTCCTTGACGGATGAAGACTAGGGTGTCCAGAGGGATAGGGGCCGTTACATATGCATTGCCCATTGCCTTGTCTCCAACCAATTCGAGTTGGACGACTACTTGTGCCTGGGGGCTTGGTTGGCTTCTTTTTAAGGCATTGAACTTCAAAGCAAAACATTTGTGTTTATTTGGTTTTTGGTGGTCCGTTTTGGGAACTTAGCTTAGCAATGGAATAAAGTTTGTTCGTATGTCAGAGAGTTTGGTCGAAAGTATTGCCTTTTAACGGCATATGCTTCGGAAGCTAATTTTCAAGAAACGCATAAATCATATTTTGGATGAAAATGCAAAAAAAAAAGTAAAAATCCGTGATTACGTTCTAGCTAAACGAGGATCAGTGATTCACGTGCATGTGTTGTAAGAAATCGAGGTTGTTTACAGCGACGGAGGAGCGAATCGTTTTGTAGCCTGCTTATGAAAAGACCGGCGCAAACACTTTTTACATTTGCTGCAATTAACATTCGTTACATTTTGCTGAACGGCTAAATTGACAGCATTTGCGCGCCTTTCTTGTAAAAAAATTCTTCTGCAGCCTTCAACAAAATCGAATTGATCGAATTGAAATGATTAAGAAGTTGGTCATAATCGCGAGACACGATGATATTCCTGCAGGCGGCGATGTATGTCACCCTACAAAATTTTTAGTCAATTCTTTAATACTATCGCAAAACTTGCTGGTATTATAATGCATTCTTACCTCTTGACAAAGTTCCTACCGAAATGAGGCAAAAACCCAGGAGTAAAATCTGTTTCATGGCTTAATCTTCAATCTTGTTTTTTCGTGCCGTCGTCCTGTTGATGGTGTTGGAGGGAATTATCTACGGCAAGGGAGCAAAACAACTATTGTGTTTAATTTTATTCGCTGTATTATTCTTACGATTACACACCGCATGAAGTGGCAGTTGTTATGGCGACCAGCAGAAACATGGGCATCACGAGACCTTTTAATTTCACAATACTTTTTATCAAGACTAGAAATGATAATCAGAATGCATGGTTGGGTGTACTACAGCTTTTACCWATGGATTTCACTTTTTCTAATCATTCTAATGGATTTTATCAAATTATGGATCCATTCTCGATCTTCCATCATGATAACTTAGGGTCTTGCGGTCCGCATATGGAAAAAAAAAAGATCTTTAAAGACACTAGTTCCTCCAATTTTCAAATCCGCAAWTATGATCAAAAATCCGCCAGTGTCCACGCTAAAAACAACTGAWTCCGCCGATGCGAAAACACACATTCACATTGACATGTATTATTGACAGGTATTATTATTGTTTACAAGAATGTGGGGAAGTGACTATAAATAGACGCAAAAGTTTAAAGACGACTAATCGAACAAAGGCGTCACTTCAAATCAGCAATCACTAAGGGGCGATCCATTAGACTTTTGAGGGGGGATGGAAGATCTAGTTGGTGCAAKAAATWTTTTTCGGACTTCAGGCGCGTGCTTGCACTTTTTTGTAAATAAACAAAAGCTTTAAGGCCGTGTCACACTAGCGTTTTTTTTCGTGCAACTTGTGTCGCGCAAAAAAAATGTTGTCAGTATCAAAGACAAATAATCAAGTGATCTTTGTTTTTTTCTACATGTTCATTCACTCAAAGTATAGAATATTCACAACACTGATCAATTATTATACGCAACAACAATGATCACAATCAAGATATAAACTATGCAGAAAAACAATAATGAAATAGTGTTATAGTGCTAGCTATATACAAGCCCTGTCTGTCCTGAACCACTACTCACGTCTTTTTGATGAGCCAAGAAAACTCTTAACGGTAACTCAAATATTCATAAGAATTGCATAGAAAAGAGTTAAAGGGATGAAAACTGGGAAAATGGGAGAAAGAAAGAAAAAACTGATCTAATGACAGCCAGCACATCACTGACTTTCATTTTAGTTTTTTACAACGCACCATGGCTCCTAAAGCATTGACACTGCTGGCTTGCGGTTATCATAATATATAGTGAATGTCAGGCAAAAAAACATGCTAACGTGATGGATACGATTGCTATCTACTGTTTAATGTTCTGCAAAAGTTTGCGCGTAAGTATTTGACTTGCAGTCTTCTAGGAACAGCCAGTCGAGAAACTACTTTTTGCGGAAACAGAAACTAAGAAACCTTGACTATCTTCATTGGTCTGAAAAGCAGGCTATATTATACACCCTTTTAATAAGTCCCGAGGTATTGTGTTCTCCGCACTTGACGTCAAATTTATTCTTTTGAATTCCTTTTGTATTGTAAAAATTTCAAAAGAATAAATTCGACGTCAATTGCGGAGAACTCGATACCTCGGGACTTATTAAAAGGGTGCATGTATACAAACTATTTGCACAGACACTATGCTATTASTGTGAATATTAATTGCTAAAAAGTCATGGAAAATGTCTACATGTGAAGTACATGTGGCTTAACACTTGGAAGGCAATGGTTCTGCCTGCTGCTCTTCAAGCTCATCGTTCTCTGTAAATGTTAGAAAATATTAAGTAAGTTTCTTACATATCAGAACTATATGACTACAATTTGTAATGGAATAGTCCACTATCACAAATGAATGGGTTAGGGGGCAGCAATACATATTTTGGGGAATATACACACAAACTTTATTAAGATTTTGGTTAATTTTCAGTTCATTAATAYGGGAAGCAGAGAATTCACTCACTTGCCAACTCCTTGATGGAGCTAGATGATGGACTTGTTTTTATGTACTTCTTGCGTGACCTGATGAAATCATCATAGATTTTAAAACGAGCTTTTAGCAATATCGAATGTAATGGTAGCGCGTGCAAGATTGTAGGACCACCCTGGCTGTATGGAATAGATATGGTAACAAGCATGACTCTGATGTATAGTTAAGGTTTGATTATGGTAAAGTACATYCAGCTGTTGAACTGCAGGTTGATATTACTTGTTTGGGATTGAGGAACAGGAGTCTGAAGGGAAATGGTATTTCTGAGAATGTGTAACTTACTTTTTCACCCTAACAAGGGTCACAATAATCACAATCACCAAAATCAAGACGGCAGCCACACAAGAAATCACAAYGTATTTGTGTCTTCTGGCCCAACCTGTAAACAATTTATGATAAATTCAACACATCTGCCAATTTACTCAAAGACATGTTTAAAGTAAGAAATTGTGATTCAATAGTTTTACTAAAGGATTCAAATGATATATTCATCCTCTAAATTTAAATCATTCAATAATTCATAATCTATTCATAACTCATACATCTTTGTCATTATCCCATGATTTCATTCATTCATCCTCCTGTTTCATAATTGCATTCTATTTCACTCATTCTCAATTTATTTATCATTTCTACTGATTTACAAGAATGTACCTCCCCAGCAGTTAGACATCCGAGGACTGCAAGCTTCATCACAAGATGCATTTCTGGACAGTGGTATTCCATCACAAGATGCGTCGATCTCTGTACAGGTACGTGTCTGGAARACCATGTGTTCATGATGTTCACCATCATCATGCTTGCGCTCATCTTTGTCATGGCCATGTTTCTTCTCATCATCATCATCATGCTTTTTATCTTCTTTATGATGGCCATGATGATGACGCCTGCGGTGATGACGATCATGATGTTTACATCTCCTACATTCACTTTCAGATGCCGTCCACCCACTCAGTGCAACCCCTGTGAGTCAAGGACATATCGTATATCAAAATCAATATATTTGCTAACTAGTGTGAAACTGCACCCAATTCACTCTTCACACATGCAGATATAATCACAAATGATTTCCAGTCCTATGGTCTCTTTAATGAAAATGAATTGGCGTGCAGYGAACTAAGTTGTATAATTGTTATTTTTTGTTTTGTTTACTGACTTATTGGATGTTCATCATTGGATATTCATATTTATGTAATTCTTATTGTACTTTACCAGAATAGCTGTCATGCACATTCAAGGACTCTGGGTAGATGCCCATGTCTTTCATGTCCCCACTTTTGATGGCTTCCCTCAGAGCTTTTTCTGGGTCCTCTTTTTTTTGAGACACATCATAGACAGCACCAACCTCCACGATGACACTTCCGTGAGAGAACTTCATTTTAGTGAACCTATTGGCCATCTTCAAAACCTGTTTCAGCTGAAAATAGATGATGTAAAAGTGTCAAGTACGTCGCTCAATTAGGTATGTTTATTACAAATCAATCTTTACTATAAATATAAGTATCATATCTATGGTGTATATTGAATAAATTGTTGTATTGCATTGATGCGCACCTTTTTGAGGATGTATAGGGACATTCTTCTGTAGGCCCTTGATTTGCAGTCAAGTAGATCATTACTAAACTTCTTTTTCATTCTCATCATGATATGCACTGTCCTCTCTTTATGGAAGATCAAAAGAGAAAGTAAAAATACAAAGTTGAATGTCCTGTTTCTCAGCTATTCCTTAAGTCTGTGCTTACCTGATTTCTGGCAATTACAGCTACTGAATGGAGCATGGCTAGGTCTGTGGCCATGATGTCCATGGTGCCCAGATGGTCTAGGGCCATGGTGTCCATGGTGTCCTGTAGGCCTTGGGCCATGATGTCCATGGTGTCCTGTAGGCCTTGGGCCATGGTGTCCATGGTGTCCTGTAGGCCTTGGGCCAGTGCCATGATGTCCATGGTGCCCCATGGGTCCATGACTTCCTGTGGGCCTGTTGTGTCCCATTGGGTTAGGCCCTCGGCAAATACATGATCCATTGACATGTCTCCACCCAATATGAAGCGGAGGACGGGATGGCCTTGGCCTTGGCCTTCTTCCTGGGCCCTTTGCTGAAAAAAGTTGAAGTTTTGTTTTGCCTACAAGGTTTACCATGCTTGTATGGGGGTTATTATAGATTTCTGCTGATTTTAAAGATCTGTTTTCTGTGTTGCTGTGATTTGTGGGGGTTTACAGTTTTCAATCCACTCGGTTGCGGATTTACCGATATTGCAATGCGGTTTACAGTTTAAATGCACTTTTATGTGGGTATTTTCAGTATGACAACCCACTATAATAACTTTTTTAGTGATTCCAGTATGCAGGCACGTTACATTCACAAAAAGACAAAATTCAAACAAATTGCAATTTTGTCAATATTTTTATCTAAGACATGCACACAGTATTCGCAATTTTAACTACAAAATATATAAACAACTAAGATTTTTTCCATTAGATCTTCGGCTGAGCAGGCTCCGGTAATTGAGAGATAAACCAACCAATCGGGTCGCTGTTTTCACCTTCAAACGACATCGCTAATTTATCCCGCAGCTATGGTAAAGACAGCTCATGAAAAACAGACCTGAATCTGAAAATCGATTACTCCTACTTATGGCAAACAGGTGGAGAAAGAAGAGCAATTCAATTTCCTTAAATTTTCGATGCCGCAAAAATTATGATATTTTTCTGGTCAAAAAGTCTTGCTTAATGGCAGTCGGATCTAAATTTGAAACTTTCTTTCTTGAGTTAAGGCGTGTTTAGATCAACGCAGACCACTAGTTACATTGAGTTTGAAATTTTTTTCCAAAACTTGCCGCCGGATCTGTGTCGTGCTAAAAACGTCGTTCGGTCATACGCAAATTATGAAGATTTCTTTTCAAATCGATTTTGAGGTTTAATATGCAGATGAAAAGGAAGTTAAATTGTAATTTTTGTCAAAATTGTCCTGTTTGCGAAAAGGAATATAACATTTTAGCGTTAAAGTGAACTTTAATTAATACCGAGGGTTCCGTAACTAGCACAGCGGCCGAGAAAAAATCTGTAAGAAGAACTAATATTGAAAATGCTCTAACTAAACTAACTCTTTATTGTCGCAATGTTTTTTTAGTAAAGCGAAACTGGTAACAGAATTAATCATAYATAAAGCTTTAGATCTATTGGCGAAAATAATCTTACATAATAGTGTAGTCAATAGTCAGGATAGTGACCTTTGTGGATATTTTCTCAAGCAAATTGTCGGYACTTTCGTAACTGAGCTTTGAAATAAAGATATTCGCGTAAAATTCSAGGGATTWTTTACTTTTTTGAAGATTTTTGCAGACAGCTACCGTTAATTTGCATCGTCACTTGCATCGTCGTCAATGCTGTCAAGGAATAGCAAATTGATATTCTCYCAATCGACTCGCTTTATTTTGCACTACTGTTGTTATTTTCTCGTTTAAACAGCTCCTCACTTACCTTCAGTAAGAACTGCMGCWAAARCAAGGCAAAAACTGATGAATACGATGATCTTCATGGCTCGTTTTCCCAGCTAACTCTTTATCGTGATGTCAGCCTTATTTWCTAATCCACCTCTGAATAAAACCACTACGCAATGTCTTTATATTTGCTTATAAATATTAATGTAAATTTGMATAAATTTGCATTATTATGTATGTGCGCGRAAACGTTTTCGGATGTAGTTTTCAAATGTACTTCGTAAACAAAAAAGTTTAATACTATTCATATATAATATATATAAGTCGAAAACAKTAACCGATAAAACAGATTGTAACAGTTGTTTTTACCGATACTGGTATCGTATGATCGTCATGTGATGTATGTGCGCTCTAGCAATAATTCAGAAAACAAAAGAAATTTGTTCCCCTGGGGTGATTCAAACAATTGTTGTTTTTTTTTACCCCCTGCAGAAGGGACCCACATTTCTTACATATCCTCCTATTCAGCAATTAACGAAAACTTCAAAAATATTAAACGTTCAAGGCAAAGCAGAATAAATTCATGGTGTCAGCCAGCTTAGCGGAACGAATAGTTAAACAGTGAATATCGACATGTCGTGAAGATCGAGTTATGCTCACCGACTTCTATGCATTTTAATATATAATAATAATAACTTTTAACATAATTTCATAGTTGATAAAAACGTCTGAATATCCATCATGTCCAGGGATTTAGAATTCTTTAGTTTCCCCGCAAATGAATAAAAGAATGGCATGTCAATAAATAAATGAATAAAAATCAAATTTAGTCMTGTCGCCAAGTTGATGATACACCGAGACAGAAACCAATTTTGCTGACTAATTACAAAGATGGCCTCTAATGCAGTGGGTTTTTCGCTCCATTTACTGCCGAAGATATATCTATTTATCCGATGCACACCATGGGAATATAGCTAATCAGATAGGGAAAACAAATGTCGTTATATATTCGACTGCGGTATTYAATCTAGGGATGATTTAAGGTGCATATGATGCCTTTACGATATTTTATTAATCAAAAAGTGAACATACTGTCAATTATTGCTCGAAATTGAAGAAATTGAAAATGCAACTATAAAATGACGTCATTCATTCATTCGTAGTATAACATGCCCGTAGGCTGACTTACAAAGGGGGTGATGGGGTTCGTTTTTTCACAATGCGGACCTATTCTAAATTTGCTGAATGCAGAGGGTAAAGTGTGTAAGAACTGGATGCTAGAATGAGCAGTTCAAAACAAAATCTCAAAAACAGTTCAAAACCGAAAGAATTTTGAAATAGAACAATAAAATTAGAGAAACACCGGACCGTTTAAGCTTGTGGCCGAACCCCCCCAGCCTGAGGGCCTGGATTATGAAGGTCTTCATTATGAAGGACTTCATAGAAATGCGTGAATCTTGTTATAGTATGTACAAGTAGAAAAATGATGAAAATGTTTTTTAAATAATGAAATCATCAGGTCTAGCTCTTCTCCTAATATTTCATCACATTTCAAGGCCGAATCCAGGGGGCTCAGAATGTAGCTCGCCACACCCAATTTTAGAGTTCAAAAATATAGAGATAAGTAAATAAATGAAAAAATGAATTCTGAATGGAACTCATAATGAAGAAAAACTAAAGCTGCGTTCATCTGAAAGAAATTTCATTWTCTGCTTCCTAAATCTATCCATTTAATCAATTTCTTGGGCCTTGAAAATCCCCGCTTTGTGATGTTGTGGAGCGGCCGCTGAATATTCTAGTGAGATAAATCGTTAGCTTGAAGCTAAATGGATTTAATCCTGGATTAGTACCATACAAGACAAACGCTTTAAAACTCGGGAGTTTATTTAGCTCAGCGTTGATAAGTTGTGTTGGTTTATTGTATKGCTTGATATATCAGATTTGATTTGTTACCGGGGATTTTTATAGCCATTTTATAGTGCAATGTCTTCTCCTGTTTTCCGTCTTTTTCGTTTTCTTTCCTTTTCAATAACAGTGTAAGAGAGGAGTTTTATGCAGTGCAAGCGACAGCCAGAACATTAATAAAAAAATACTTCCTTGCCATCGTGGATACGATCTCCTTTCGGCAAATTACAATTTAAATCCGGTCTACCTGCATTCTCTTTGAGTACATTTTTGGAATAGCCGGGTTTATTAATGACGATGTATATATACACTGCCTCCAATGACTTATTTTCCTTGAATTTGTTTCTCTTCCAATATAATGTGYTACATTAGAGGACCTATCGTAGAAGAACATACCCATACAAATGCAGATAAGTGTCATTAACCCGCAATGTTTATTTGCTCAAGTCCGCCAGCAACACCAGACTTGGTACACAAAACTCTGAACCTGACATGTGTAGGTCCAGTCCCAGTACTAATAAACTCACTGACAACCTGAAACTATGTAAACCTAAAAAAACAGCAAACAACAAACTGTCATGGCCGAACATCGCTTGAAACTACGACTTGTCATTAACTAAGTGAACTTGATGACTTTATCCGCATTTCAATTTAGCGCAGYTGAAGGTCACAATGTGTTAATTGCTATGAAGTGCTTAGTTATCAATGGATCTTTCAAAGAAGAAGAACATCTGCAGGCATGATTRACTTATTTCCGAGCGTAGAATGGCAGGAATACATCTCCCTGATATWGGTAAACTTGGTATTCATGTTGCCACTGGAGTCAATGATAAAAAGAAAGTCGCGCCGATGAACAACGTCGAAGAAGCYCGTTTGAAAGCTTTCTTAAAAAGAGTTGATAACGAGAAACAGGAGCGCGTTCAAGTGATAAAAAAAGAGTTGAGGAGAATGAAAAGAAGAAAAAGACGAATTGACGCGAGGCTGGAAGACCTTGGAAGATCAGAAACCGTCCAGTTACCTATTGAAGGAAAACATCTTAAACAAACGGCAAMYGATTCACGTTTGCCTCCAATAAAAACTTCTGCGGTAAAGAAAGCAAAGAAGAAGCGTTGCGATCAAGAGGGCGCAATGTTACTAGAGAATAATAGTAGATTATTGTCCAAAGTGACAGTTTTTCCGATACAGGATGAGCTCTCTGAGGACAACTCTCCCTCTGCGTCAAACTCTGCAGTGCTGCCTCCTATACGGCTGTCTCAAATAGTCCTAGAGTCCGCCGTACCTGATGCTACTGGGAAGAAAAAGTCAGAAAAATCACAAAGAAAAATATCCRCAGYAAGGAAAACAAGTAACGAGTCATGTTCAAAGACAGTCAAGAGRATGAGCGTTGCTGCATTMACTAATGATGATGGGCCGTGTGAAGAGAGTTACGATGGTGACCAAGCTGTTGGTTTAGCGGATAAAAACTTCTTGTTTTTAGATTTTGACGCGACGGATATACTACGACCCAGACAACCTCAACAAAGTCTTGAGGACGCTATGATTGCTATAAAAACCTGTCGATATCTCAGAACTCCGAGCAGGCAAGAGGACAACCAAGATGTTTACAGTGACAATGCATAACCGACATTAAAAATTGTTCAGSTGGRATTTTTGATATTTCARGAAGTAATTTCTTGAGTTAAATCGGATTGAAAGTGAAATAATAAAATTTCAGAGCCRTTTTAATCTAGATCATCAAGTCATTGAATGAAATACGAATATTAAGGTTGTTGTTAAGCGCAATGCAAATTTATGTTGGGTTATACCAGAGTTCAAGGGAGTGTTTGCTTACGATGTGTAAGTAGTCTAGGAATTTGAATAATCACATCAGTGTATTAGTACTCAAAAACAGCTACAAGAATCCAATTCACAAGAATCATTGTACGTTTTTAAGGTCCTATGCCTCRTCTGCTACGTAACCTAGATCACTACTTTAGCTTCTAAACCACAATAGCTATAAAAACAGCTCAGTCTTGTTTGCCAAATGAATACAATYAATGTACCAAATATCAATCCAACTTCAAACATTGATAACTTGTTACAAGCAGCTGAGTAAAAACACTTTCGATTGTACTTGAATACATGAGCGATGAGGCAAAGACTACAACGAAAAAAAGCACATAACCGAAATTTAGCGAAAAAACAATTCTTGAAACGGAAGATCAGAATCGATCAGAATTGGACTCATCTTGATATATTTTGATAGAGAATTCGTATATTCGTGAGAAAAGAAATTTGTGAGGATCTTGTGAATGCTAATGCTCCTTATCCAMCMCTATCACCTGATTGGAATACTTAAAAGAGCATGCGCAACAGTAAGACTCAAGAAGACAGCGCTGTGGCCTTTGACACATTTTTATATGATTTGGGACAGTCTGCACTTATCAATCTGAACGGATCTTATGATTGGTCAAGAAAACAATGGGCAAACAACAGCAGCAGAAGTCCAGTTTTAAGGAACCCCGGCTTAAAAACAGGCTTCGATGGTTACTGTGCAGTTCTAAGCCTATCCCACATGGCCGAGAGACCCCTCTTCAATTATGAACTTAAGAACTTTTAAAAGTACCAATTTGTACAGTATTTTGATGATTATATGCCAGGAMGTTTGTAGTATAAATCGATTACGTAACTTGTTAATACAAGTTTGGTTGCTTTGTAACTAGTATATAACGCATGTAACGTGGACCACGTTGGACTACGGGATACAAACTGTGTGGCCGATTCTCGCGAATCATTTTTAAACATGTGTTTACATTGCTAACTTGAAAAGATTTTTGGTACATGTTTTTTGTTCAAAAATTGATAATTTCAATTCGCAAAAAAGAAAGGTGCTGCTTTGTTATTAATTCTTGATGTTATTAGTATTCTCTATAATTAAAAAAGTTCGATCAGAGTTAACTGGATTGACAAACCACTCATGAAATGTGAACAGTTTCGCGCACAAGCCTTGATTAAATTGTACTCTGAATCAGAACAAACARACCTTATCCACGACTGTCTGTGTATATTTATTTGAATGTCTTAAAGACACTGACGTATTAGATTTGTAAAATTTACATAACACTATTGTGGATTAATGACAACCTTGTTGGTAGTGATAACGCAAACATTCGCGCAAACAAGGCTAAGAGCGAGTGTTTGCTGGATGCACGAAATGCYGAAAAAATGCATTTCACGACAGGTCTCCGTGTTAAACGAAAACTGTCTTAGTTTTTTTTACACTTGAAAGTTGTTAAAAGCATTGGTTTTCTTTTTAAAACTTTAATTTGCAAACTTTGGGAATTCTCTGGGGAATTCAAGTCATCATATTGTAGGGCCGTATTAAATACTTTCTTGGCGTGTCTTGGCGTGTGATAGCTGTGGAGATTACAGAGGTCCAAGACTGCAATAAAGATGATTTCTGACTTAACTTGGAGTTAATGCTCCTGGGGCATCGAACGTTCGAAAAGCTCTTCTATTTTGTGATTGGAAATGAGCCTACAAGGTCACAATGAGCAGATTTCTGCYAAACAGAAAAACCGTCACAATGATCACATTTCTGCCAAACAAAAAAACACTCTRATGCAGAAGAACCTCAAAGTGTATCGAGAACAAGTTATAAAACAAGAGGTTATTGACTTGGAACGAGTTCGAACCGAAAGAAAACTCAACCTAGAGGCGAAAAGTTTGATGCAATATCTGAARTTTCCGACTGTRGATGATAGGAAACAATTSAGATCCGAGTCACAGCCATCATCACCCAAGTTATTAAGCAAAACTCAAAGGAGCTTCAGTACACCGCCATCGCCCATTCCAAGAAGAGGGTCATTACCAAACGTAACCGATTTAACAATAAAAAACAAGCAGAACGAGACAGTRATTTCGCCACCATCACCACTGCTGTCCAGGAAAAACCATTTCCATTTTGSTAAAGATGCACAATTATCATTTACACAAGSTACGTCACCTSCGAGACGCGGCTCAATGAACGATATCATAGTYCCACTATCAATACATCCAYCGTCGACTTCACCAAGRAGAGGCTCTATGGGTGAACTCCCATCAAGCCTTTTACAACGACGAAGAAGTAATGTACCTCCCCTTTCACCACTGTGCGATAAGCCTTTAAGTGCGTTCACGAAGTCTTTGTCAAAACGAATACAATTGAGACGAACTAAAAGTGGAWCCAGCGTGTCACCGCCAGAGTCACCGAGGATAGGTTCTCTTGAAGAGCAATTCAAGTCATTGGAATCGTGTCGTTATCTGAGACGCCGAGGATCACTAGACGTTGATGWTTTTGATACCCAACAAAATGATGTGAACGAAGATTAAACTCTGTGAAGAATTATTGATATAAAAGGTGCAAAAATTATCGCTTGCAAACAGCACAATTTTCATGGATATAGGATTAGTATTTTGTACTTAATGTACTCGTGAAACAATAGAAAACAAAGGGGTTTTGTACAACCAATTGAACATCAGTCAAAGCCCATGTAACCTGCATTTCATTAGTAGGTCCTAAGAAATTAACCAGTCATTAATATTTGTCATTGCAGTTTTTAATGGTAACACTTAAAATAATTTGGATATAATGATTTTACTTATCTGTTAATRAAATCATCAATTTCTAGGCCGATGATATAGTTAATCAATTATTTTCAAAAAAATAATACTAGAATTATATAACGGAAAAATACACTTGTCGACAGCGAATTTGAACAGAGTAAACTGAGTAAAACAGCAAAAAAAAAAAAAGACGCGCGCCATAAAGGTTGTAAATTTGATGGAAATATGATGTAAGTGTCCAAAATGATGTAAATTTGATGGAAATGATTTACATCAAATTTACATCATTTTGGACACTTACATCATATATACATCAAATTTACAACCTTTTAAGCGTGCGATTTTTTCCAGTGATTAATAGACCTCTGAAGCTTTTACGTCATGCACCGTATACCGCTTTTCTTTTGTTTTCTCCAGAAATTGATCCCATAATGCATTGAAAACCAAGTAGTGACGTAAAAAGTTCAAAAGTCTGTAGTTAACAAGGGTGGTTACTTRAGGACAAGAAGATGTWATTGGAAAATCTATTCTATTTTACTTGAGTGCTCCAGTCCCAATAGGAATTTGATAAAACGTTCTTCGCCAATTTCTTCATCGTATTGTAGCCAGTTATAAACATGCCGCATGTCAGCGTCTACRTTTTTCTTTCATTTGCTTACTCTTGGAGGACCACTGACTGATTTAGGCATCACGAACTGGAAATTCTCTTCCATTTTTTCCGTTTTTTAGAAACTATGATAATTTGTCTTGTTTATTTGGCTTGTTTATGTCGCTATTCCTTAAATTTCTCCAGATAGTCTCGAAGGTAAGCGATGCAAAGCGGCTGACGTCGGGCGACGGCATTTAGTAATCTAACTGGAATCATACCACCAAAGTCAACCTGGAGAGGACGAGAATAATGTTAAACACACAAAGAAATAGTGGAAACCACTGGACAACAGAATTTATTATGAACGAAAAAAAAAAGAAATGTCAGTCGGGTCCCAAAAGCTCAWGAAAGCTACCACGGCCCGAAGGGAGCATGAGAAATCAAATATCCCGAGCATAGCAGTGTTTCACAAAGATTGCTTGAAATGACCTCCTTCAAGCAATGGATATTATTTCACATGATTAGGTAAATTTTATTTGAATTGAATACTTTCTGAATGCCCTTCGGTGGTGGCTTTGATGATATAATCTTTTGCGACCCGAAAAAGGGTAGTTCAATAGGTGAACATATAGAGAGACTGAAAAACAATTGCAAATTGTAATTGCAATTGCAATTACAAACACATCAAAACAATAGGATAACGCTGGTTTARAAGAAAGAAAGACCATATTCTTACCTGGGTGAGGTAAGACACCATGCTATATAATCGGCCATCTTGACGAACGGGTTCCACCACCCAACCACTRCCATAAACCTAGAAAGGAAATCAACATTAGTTACTGACAGGCAAAGRAAGGCTGTAATGTAAAGATTATCATACCTTTCCTCGAGTCAAGTTCTTTACTGGTGGACACTCTGGTGCATCAAYTGACACTCCAACACAGGCGAACCTGTCAGGCTATGGAAAACAAACTTATGTAAAATCAAAACTGTGTTTAACAGAGGTGCACAACGTCTCTCTCGCACCGCTCTACTCACCAAATGTATAGAGAAATAAAGTCAACTACTCATGAAGCAGGACCAGAGAAGGTCCTATGTACTGAACTCACCGAACCAGTTAAGTCATTCATCTCTTTTCACACAACCCTAATTTTGAAGCCGCATTAATAGACGCACCTCGATTCGATTAACAGTCAAGAGAAGAAAGTCCCTGGCTTGTTTCAGGAAACACTGAGCAGCTTCGAAATGTAAGTACTCTAYCAAAAACAAAAAYCACTTTAAAAAAACACTTTTGCATCAATGAAGACGTTTWTATTTACCAATCTTTGAATGTTCGTCTAGTTGTCTAATAACCTTCGTTTTCTGGTAAAAAGATTGAATTCAAATTAATGCCAAACAAACTARTGGGTAATGCATGTCACTAACGAGTACTGGAGAGATATACCRTCAATTATGAGACAAATGGGGTCACCATAGTGTCGAAACWGGGGTCTGTTGTCMATTCTTACCTTCAACATTTTGTCATACACATGCCTTGTCATGGGATTTTTGACTGCATCATATACCACTGTCGGGCTGCACTTGATCAAACCTTTACCAAGAAAACTACAAACAACAGCAAAAACAGTGCCGTTTATTTCATGTTTTAAGGACGAAACGGTGTTGACCCGGAAAGTGTTACTATTCTGCGCTAGCTCTGTATACAAACCAGTTACCTATGAATTTTTTCACCAGGACTAATTTTTCGAAGGATGACAACATCTTTTTCAATACATTGATAACTAAAACAAACAGACAGATATCAGCAACATCCCCGTTACGTTTACGTTCGGTGTAACGTTACAACTTACGTCCATTCGCCTTTAGTGGTTGGGTCGTTAAGATTATCTGAACCAATCTCTGCCTTGGAAGCCAAAACAACCTAAGATACAACACACATTTATATTTTATGGAAAAAAGAGTCAAACTATTAAGAAACCCACTGCTCAAATGAGGTTGGGTTGTTTTTGACGAATAGTGCATCACCAGAAATTGATAAAAATTACCTCTCCAAGAACTGTAGCAGCGGCTTGGTTACCGAGTGTCTTGTAGTCTACTTGATTTATATTAACTGTAAATAAAACCCATTGCGCATGAGTAAGATGAAATTGCTATTGCGCATGTTTAAACAAAAAAGCAAATTGAGTGCATACCAAATGGCAGTTTCATATTTTCTTCACTAACTTCGGGTGCGCTTTTCTCCTATAGATTATAAATGAGACGCCGCATTATGCACTAGTCAATTGAAACCCCCKCCCCCCGGGGCTAGCGGGGCACTATCTGAACGGGGACGTGACGCGTTTTTAACGTGCTTTTAACAGCAAGATTGACCCGGGGGTCGGGATTTTGATGAATTGTTTTCGAAGCGAGGCAATGAGCGGGGATTCTAACGCGCGTTTGAACATGTATGAAGTTGGAAACTACCTTGTATGAAAAAATTATAAAAGAGACTTATTACACATGTTTTTCTCCGTCCAGTTAGCCTCATGTAGTAGGCAAATGAGTACACAGGATTGTGCAAAATTAACCCTGTGTATCACAGAAAATTTGATTGAAAGGTCTTTGTTTGTTATTTACTACTACCAAAATAGCGGGGCAACATCCAGTAGCGGGGATTTTAACAATAAATCAAATAAATGTGCCTCCGACTACCGGGGGAAATGTCTTATTTTAACACCACTCACACGGTAAATTCCCCGGTTTTCCCCGGGGGTCGGGGATTTCAATTGATTAGTGCATTAGTGAACGATACCAATTGGTTATATTGCTTTACAGCTGTCCCGTCAGGAAACCGTACAAAACTCACCAACAAGCTTTCATTTTGTTCTTCTTTGAACAATTCTTTTACCATTTGTTCGTTTTCGTCTGCCGTGCTCAGACTGTCTAGTGATGATTCTTGCTTGTACTTATGAGTGCGTTTACGAGTACTCGGTGATTCTTTTAATGTCTTTATAACCGGAACATCAAGCACTCCACTATCTTTCATTTCTTTTATCTTCATGAGTTCAACCCAAATGTCCACACCTTGTTTTTGGATCTCAGACATCTTTTCGGAGTCTGGGCCTTGTTCCCTGTCCTGGTTATAAAGCATATGTAGTCGGTCACGCAATATTGCCAGACCCTGAGGTTGAGATTGCGTTAATCTGTTGACCAATCGGGGTGGAAGATTTCCTAGAAAAGGTATCCAGAAATGTCACACAACGAAACAACAGGTCACAGAAACACAAAAATGAGGAGAAGTGCAAGGGCTCAAGGAATGARGAATGGTGAGGATGATTGATTAGATGATCGATTGAAGAAAGATAAACAAGTTACCTTTGAGATCGGCCTGGGAGATGTATGTAATCTGACAGCAAGGAGGATCTGAACTGATCTCTTTAACGAAGAAACCGAAACACAATASATCACCCCTGTAACAGCAGCATAATTAGCTTAAGCACAGCTACCTTTCTAGATGGTGCTGGGAACTGCAATAGGRCACTATTGACTAGTAATGGGCTCCTGTGACAACTCACCTTACAAGGCCTTTTTTAGGAGGACACTCGGGACACTCCCCCTGAGACAAAATCATGCACGTCAGACTACTTATGTCGGAGAGAGGTTGGTTTAGAACTAACAAATATRTTGACTTACTGCTGATCTCCCTGCAATACAGTAAAGACCATCTTCTACTTCTCGTAATGCAAAAATATTAGTGAAATCTCTACCACTTGTTGGCCATACTGGTTTGAACTCAGCACGTACAATCTATAGGATATTATACAACTTTTCAGTAAAATCAGACGTTTTGATTGGTTGGCTTTCGTGTGTTATCAAAGTATAGATACACGGATTACGTCAAAACTAATTGTTTGTTGTATAAAACAGATAGATCTCATTTTTCCGTGCGTGTGTACTCAAATAGATACACAGATGACGTCAAAATGTAGTGAGAACAAGTCACGCACTCGACTGCGTCTCGGGCGTACTTTTTTGTTCTCACTACATTTTGACGTCATCTGTGTATCTATTAGAGTACACACGCACGGAAAAATGAGATCTATTTGTTAAATATCAAAAACATGTAGTGTACCATAGTACAATTGAATGGGGATAAGTGTGAATAGAATGAAGAAGGGAAACCCAGGATGATCATGGAGTTAAGAAAGATGAAACCTCGGTACCTTTGTAAGAAGGTTGTACTCTTTGATGATCTCTCCTAGTATAAATAAACATGCAAATATCATTATTAACAGAGGGTAACAGCTGCAATAGAACATTAGAGTACATATTATAATGCTGTGTCAATACCTCTTGCATACAGATCATCCCATTCCCCGCGGTACTGGAGGTCAAACCCATAAGCCAGTGCATAATGTACAGGTACGTTAACTGTTACCACACCCTTCAATGTGTCCCACGGGGGTTCCCCTGATTGCGCAGATCTTTTTGTGATCTCAACATCTCTATAAGAGGAAAAATAATTCATGTTAGAAATGCACAAAATGGAAGCATGCCTTGGAATCAATTGAAAAGTTCAAAATAGATTAAATGAAGAAAATATGAAGTTATGAACAAGAGGTGAAAATTCTTACTTTATATTTGCCAAGAAAGTCCATCCATCAGTTCCAATAGCTGCATTAAATGCTTTCATACAATTTTTCTGTATTTTCTTAATGGTGTCCCTTAGATGACAAATGAGTAAAAGCTAATACTATGCAAGGCCCACACAGGAATCACATCATTGATGGTKAAAGCAAGCAAATATTGTAAAACAAAGGAACTTGTTTAGTAATTGTAAAATTTAACTTACTCAAGTGAAATCTTGTCTTCTTGATTGGGAACACTCAACCCCTGAACCATGCAATATATTGATATCAAAAACATATACAGTAACATAAGTGTACAAATATAATTTATATCGTCGAATAATAATGTCGCCTACCTCTACCTCATCAAAGAATGACTCCTCTGACTCTTCTTCTTCAGCCACTGCACCGAAAGAAAAGATGAGAAWATGGAATATGAAAAAGTAGGAAGAAAAATGCAAGAGGAAGAAATTATTTAAGAAATAATTGAGATGATTGGCTGAACAAAATAATAAATTAATTATATTGACACATTGGTAAGAGAGTGATGCAGAGCCACTTGACGATTTCAARTTTGAAGAATCACATTGAAATTGTTGCTATCCATACCTCTATTATCACTTCTATTYGCTTCATTTTCACTTGAGCTYTTGACATCATGACCATTTKGTATTGCATTGGAACATTCAACCACTTTACCGGAATATTTAATTGTCAAGAAATCCCTCAAACCAGCAAGACGAATGGAGGTAAATAGCTTGATATCAGACATTAATGCATAGTCTATGGTTGGCGCTGTTATCAAATGTATCTTATGTAAAGATTTTTCGGTTGGTGCTGCAAATAGAAATACAATATGGATGTTTGAGGTTCTGTTTGYCTTGCCTTTTGGTTAAAGGAAAGACTATTATTTTTATGACAAAAGGAAAGATGACATAGAAACATATTAAGAAATGACATATGAAATCAGAGTGTGAGATACCTGTGCTAATTGGTGTTATAAGCACTCCACACCACAGGAATCCTGAAGTAAATACAGCTTGCTGCATTGAAGAGCTGAAGAACCACCCTTCATTAATGGTATTACTGTGCCAGTATCTGGAATACAAGCCAAACAAACTTTAAMAGGCAATACATAGAGTATTTTTTAGTCTTTTCAAGATTCTGGTTGAATGATCATGCAAAGAGAACTGAAAACAAGTCTCTGATAAAACAMRGATGATATGTTGTTTCCCCWTAGGTTTTATCATGAATTCTTTTGTGTGTGGTCAACTTAATTCAATCAAAATATGGAAAGTAGACTTCTTCAATAATATGAAGGTTTCTGATTAAAAAAAAACAATGGTGACATGATATTCAATATTTTTCATTTTCATTTAATTACTTACTTTAATTTTCATTTAATCACTTCATTTTATTATATGCCTGYCGTGGACTGGTAACAAGCATTTGAATATTGTAGTTTATTGATCTAGTGTTTGACTTATACATAACTAACCTTGAGTAGATTGAAGTGATATCACATCCAAACATTTGAATAACTTTCAGTGTAACATGTTCTATTGTTCCCATGGAAACAGGAGTCCCAGATATCACATCATGTCCTTTTCCAGTGCTCACTCGACTCACACCCTGTACACAGGGATCCCACTCGGGAATATATCTCAAGTCTTGTAGTGCAGTTAAAATATCCTTGTAAGACAATGACATGATAGAATTAAAATGATATAATCATKGTATACTATCATTGTATAGCAATACAATAAAATGATTTAAAATAATAATTTGATAATCATTATTACCTTAACATTTGCCTGTATAACACATGTACAGCCATAAACTGTTTGCCCAGTGTACCATTGAAATGTTTCTGAGTCAACATGTTTCTTCCAGATTCTCAGACCATTGTCAACACCCAAAATACTCCATCCTTTAGAATGGCATGGTGGAGATATCTAGAATATTTAACAATTAGACCAGGAGTTCACGACGTGGTCCACAAGGCTAGATCATGGTATAATTGTTAGTGGTCAAATTGTTTAACAAGATGAATGTGATACTGAATATATTCATATTTCTAGTTGATATTCAACATCGAATAGAATTGGACAGAACGTAAGAGCAATATTTCGGTTTTAATGCAAAACCATCATCAGGCTAAATTGTTTATACTCTTCAGTATATGAAATGAAGCCATGTTCTAAAATAAACCATAGTTCAGCAGCCATTCAGAATGCTTTTGTTAGAGACTAAAATGACTTCATAGTATCCACCGAACTATGTCAACTATGAACTATCACAAATCCAGCATTCTGATTGGTCACTGAACCATGGTATATTTATGTTATGGTCAAAAAGTGAAAAATAGTCAAAAACAATGCTGAGAAAAGTTGTTATTGAATTTTTTTTCAAATTTGTCTCATGAACTACAAGTTGATAGTCCATTCAGCCAAGTACAGCCTTATATGGACTATCAACTGTACCCCATATGACCTCACGGTCTAATTGTGAAATGTTCAATGATAACTGGTCTTTCTTTTGATTTTTTTCTTTTTTTAGCTTTTTTATTTTTTGAAATTTTGAAACTTGATCTCATCTTAATAATTTGCATTACGTACACGTGTACAAATAGTCACAATCAAACTTTAATGTTGTTCTTAGTGATGTGGTTGTGCAATAATTTTACAAGTAATAATAATTATGTCTATGCATGAACCTTATTGTTCTCAATGTAATTACAGCAATGAATATTGATCATCACTTGCTTCATGATTTACAATTACACTACAAGTCATGTTGCCATTATTTTCCAATTCTATTCATTATGTTGATGGGATTCCTGTGCAGCTTTATTTCAAACATTGGACTCTGATACATTTGATATCCTCATGTGAGTTTTTTAGTTTAAAGTAATTAAATATTAAAGCAGCASATTTATGTGCGTTTTATTGGTGATCGCACTTTGCCAAACGTAMTGACATACTAAATAGGAGTTAAAGTTTTATAGCTACAATTGTAGCTGGCTGATCSAGTARCATGTTCAAAGATCAAATAAATTCATTTTATACACTGCAGCAAATCAAAGAATGGGCGACCAAATCCAGCGACACAAGAATTGAATTAAACAAACCAAACTGACCGCTCAAGATTAATTTAAATCACATGTCAAAATCACGAAAGTGCAGAAAATCTTGTAGCATGTCARAAGAAAGMTTTTYATGCTAGGTTGTTCGAGTTCTTCACACAAAATATAGCYTTACGTGCAAATACTTAGCATCTTGCTTATAAATTACCTTCTTGATGAAGTTTATCTTCTGCTGAATGGAGACTGACTCAACCACTTTACTCTAYGAGTAAATAAAACATGATTCAAGCTTACATTTCAACATACTTCTCGTGYAGGGATGCAAAAGATCTCTTAATCTGGAATTTACCTTTTGAAAAAAACGAGTGAAGTAGAAAACTAGAATAACTAAAATTCCCAAGAAGACTGTTAAGAGCCACAAAAGACCCATTCTGCTGGGTAAAAGGCTGAATTTTCATTGACAAGCCAAGTCAGGTCTYGTGTTGCCGTGAACTATAAACCGGAAACTCACGAGCAAGAACACATGCTATCACGTGGTTAAAGATTATGACTTCCGGTTCAAGTACTACACATGTTGACAGCCTTGGAATGCAATSTCGTACCCCGAGTCTTCGTCGTTTCTTGGTCTTCGTTTTCTTTTATTYAACAAATAGCCCGTAAACCAATCGGGTAAATCTTGCAAAACCGTGAAGGGCTACCCCATGCTGTAGGAGGATTGCGTGACGTTTATTGACATGTTTGTATAAATCMGAACATCGTCCGCCATGTTTTTCAACCGTACATGATATCGTCATGAAGAAGCTGGTTACTTTAGCATGATTCAATATGTCATCGCCCAATTCATTGCTCCTTCTAGCTGCAATGCTGTTGTTGTTTGCAKTAGACAAGACAAGAAGCCATCCACAATGTCTCGATTATAAACCACCATTTCAAGCCAATTCAAAGCTGAAGTTTTGCTCTCAATACACATTATTTGGTTGCTGTACATCAAAGAAAGATGACCAAATTGCTGAACAGTTTACACAACAAAAAGCTAGATTTAGACTTAACACTCGCCTCCATTGCGAGAAGATGTTGAAGGAAATTCTTTGTCTTGAATGTGATCC